CCCAGCCACCGCAGCCTCGCCTATTGGGCTCCGGCGATCCTTCCACCTCAGCCTTCCGAGTAGCTGGACCTACAGGCATGCGACACCACACCCGGCTGATTTTTTTGATTTAACTGTAGAGATGAGGTCTCGCTGCCCAGATGGATCTCAAACCCGCGGGCTCAGGCAATCCACTCACCTCAGCCTCCCAAAGGTGCAGGATTACAGGCTGAGCCACCAAGCCCAGCTTCTTACATATTTTTAAATTACATGCAGAAAAATCCCTTCTTTGTGGTGTATAGTCTACAGGATTTAACAAATGCATGCAATGTAGAAAAAGTGTTTATAACATGCTACATTTTGCATAAGAAAGAGAATAATGGCTGGGTTTGATGGCTCAAGCCTGTATTCCCAGGATTTTGTTAAGGCCAAGGTGGGTGTATTACTTGGCCAGAAGTTCAAAATCAGCCTGGGCAACACAGTGAGATTCTGTTGCAACAAAAAATCAAAAAGTGGCCAGGCACAGTGGCTCTTGCCTATAATCCCAGCACTTTGGAAGGCCAAGGTGAGAGGAATGCCTGAGCCCACAGGTTCGAGACCAGCCTGGGCAACTTAGGGAGACCTCATCTCTACAATATATCAAAAACATTAGCTGGGCATGGTGGTGCATGCCTGTAGTTCCAGTTACTTGGAAGGCTGAGGCAAAAGGATCACCTGAGCTCAGCAGATCAAGGCTGCAGTGGCCAGGAGTGTGCTACTGCCCTCCAGGCTTGTTGACAGAGTGAGACTCCAACTCAAAAAAAATAAAATAAAATAAAAAAGTTAGCCAGACGTGGTGGCTCATGCCTGTAGTCCCAGCTACTTGGGATGCTGAAAGTGGAAGGATCCCCTGAGCCAAGGAGCTCGATGCTGCAGTGAACTATGATCATGTCACGGATGATTTGTATATTTCAGTATATTATACTTCAATATAACTTATAAAAACCTACACTGAAATATCATGTGCCACCTATCAGACAATGCAAAAATCCTAGTCTGACAATATTGTTTACAGTAAGTTTCCTACATACAAACGAGTCATGTTCTGAGAGTGCATTCAAAAGTCCAATTTGTTTGTAAGTTCAACAAAGTTAGCCTAGTTACCCAACTAACACAATTGGCTATATAGGTCTGTACTGTAAAAGGTTAACAATACTTTTCACACAAATAATACTGTAAAGTACATAAAAGCACAACCACTTGCAGAAGATGCATGCATGTGACAATGTATATCAGACACACGAACTAACTTACATGAATGGACATGAGAATGTACCTTTTTTTTTGAGTTGGAGTCTCACTCCGTCGCCCAGGCTGGAGTACAGTGATACGCTCATGGTCCCCTCAGCATCGACCTGCTGGGCTCAGGTGATCCTTCCCGCCTCAGTCTTCCCAGTAGCCAGAACTACAGGCCCACGCTACCATACCCAGCTAATTTTTTTTATTTATTGTAAAGATGAGGTCTTGCCAAGTTGCCCAGCCTGTTCTCGAACCCGTGGGCTCAGGCAGTCCTCATACCTTGGTGTCCCAAAGTACTGGGATTATAGGCTTGAGCCACCGTGCCCAGCCAAGAATGCATGTTTTCATCTTTGAAAGTTCGCAACTTGAAGATTCATGTGTAGAGGACTTACTGTATTGGCAAGGCTCTGGGAAAACAAGCACTCACACACTTCAAGTGGGAATGCAAAATTATAAAATCTTATGAGAGGAAAATTTAGTGATGTCTATTGAAATTATACATACATTTGCCCTATAACCCAGTAGTCCCACTTCTAGGACTCTTATCCCAAAACATGCTAGCAAAAAGTGGAAATAATCTAAATGTCTACCAACTTTATTAATGGATAAATAAAATGTGGTGTATTTGTACAATAGAATATTATTCTGCCATAAAAAGGATTAAAAAACTGTTATATGCTACAACATAGCAGAAACTTGAAAGCATTATGCTAAGCCAAAGAAGTCAATCACAAAAGCTCACACAGTACATGACTTAATTTATATGGTCAAAATGGACATAGAAAGCAAAATAGTGGTTGCCTAGGGCAATCAGTCTCCCCACTTAGGGTAGAGGATGAGGAGGGACTGCTAATAGGTATGGGGTTTCTTTTTGGGTAATGAAAATGTTCCAAAATTGATTGTGGTCATGGTTGCACATTCCAGTAAATGTAATAAATATCACTGAGTTGTATACTGCAAATGGACAAATTTTATGGCATATAAATAAACCATTTTCTAAAATATGTTAGCAAAATATTAAGTGACTTATAAACAAGGTCATTTATTGCTGAACCATTTGAACAGCTAAAACCTGAAAATAAAACTGGCAAAATAAACTATGGTACCTCCATAAAATAAGCATATTCTGTTGGTACAAAAAAGAATAAAGAACATCTCTTTATACTTCTATGGAGTGACCTCCAGAATATACTTTTTTGTTTTTTGGTTTTTTTTTTGGTTGTTGTTGTTTTTTTGAGTTGGAATCTCACTCGGTAGCCCAGACTGGAGTGCAGTGGCCGCTCCCGGCCACCGCAGCCTCGCCTGCTGGGCTCTGGCGATCCTTCCACCTCAGTCTTCCGAGTAGCCGGAATTACAGACATGTGCTACCACGCCCAGCTGATTTTTTTATTTATTGTAGAGATGAGGTGCCGCCTGCCCAGGCGGGTCTCCAACCCGTGGGCTCCAGCAATTCACTCACCTCAGCCTCCCAAAGGCGCGGGATTACAGGCTGAGCCACGGAGCCCGGACAGAATATACTTTTAAATGAAAAAAGCAGGCTGGGCACAGTGGCTCATTCCTGTAATACCAACATTCCAGGAGGTCAAGGAGGGAGGATCACTTGAGCCCAAGAGTCTGAGACCAGTCTGGACAACAGTGGATAACAGAGAGACTTCGTCTCTACAAAAAATAAAGAAATTAGTTGAGTGTTATAGTGCATGCCTTAGCTCCAGCCTTTTGGGAGGCTGAGGTGAGAGGATTGCTCAAGTAATCCTCCCAGGAGGTAAAGGCTGCAGTGAGCTCAAGAGGTTGAGGCCACAGTAAGTCACGCTCAAGCCACTGCACTCCAACCTAAGCGACAAGAGTGAGACTCTATTCTATTAGAAAGAGAGAGAGGGTGTAGAGCTATCTCTTTCTGCCCACTGCTCCTTGCAGCATACTCAATAAATCTGATTTTTTTCAAAAAATAAAGAGAGAGAGAAAAGAGCAATATGCAAAAATGATATGCTACATTTTGTGTAAGAAAGGGGATAGAAGCCGGGTTCAGTGGCTCAGCCTGTGATCCCGCGCCTTTGGGAGGCTGAGGTGAGTGGATTGTCTGAGCTCATGGGTTCGAGACCCGCCTGGGCAGCAAGACCTCATCTCTACAATAAATCAAAAAATCAGCCGGGTGTGGTAGCGTATGCCTGTAATTCCAGCTACTCGGAATGCTGAGGTGGAAGGATCGCCGGAGCCCAGCAGGTCGAGGCTGCGGTAGCTGGGAGCAGCCACTGCACTCCAGTCTGGTGACAGAGTGAGACTCCAACTCAAAAAAAAAAAAAAAAGAAAAGAAAGGGGATAGAGATACAAATATGAGGAGAACCTAAAAAAAATCAGAATTATCTTCTTAGAGAGCAGGCCCCTTGTAATAAACTCAGAAATTGTTCCTCCTGATTAAAGAGTCAACCAAAAGCCGGGTTCAGTGGCTCAGCCTGTAATCCTGCGCTTTGGGAGGCTGAGGTGAGTGGATTGCCTGAGCCTGCGGGTTTGAGACCCGCCTGGGCAACTTGGCGAGACCTCAGTTCTACAATAAATCAAAAATCAGCTGGGCGTGGTAGCACGTGGCTGTAATTCCCGCTACTCGGAAGGCTGAGGCGGAAGGATCACTGGAGCCCAGCAGAGCGAGGATGCAGTGGCCGGGAGCGGCCACTGCACTCCAGTCTGGGTGACAGAGTGAGACTCCAACTCAAAAAAATAAAAATAAATAAAGAGTCAACCAACGTTTTCATCTGGAAGTTTTTAAAAGGTTACATCACAATATGTGGAAGAAACATCTCAAGTTGTAGTAAACAGGTGACTGGTTCTTCCACCATGAAAAATTGCCCACACAATACTGGGTGTTCAGCAGTTTTCAGTCAAAAAGGGCACGACCCTGATGCCTCACCCTCTCTATTCAACCTGTTCACCTGATCTCTCCCCGAATGACTTTTTTTGTTTCCCCAGATGAAAAAAGACCTCAGAGGGGAAATGTTTTGCTTAGTTTCAGATACTTGGAAGGCTGAGGTGCAAGGATCACCTGAGCCCAACAGGTCAAAGCTGTAGTAGCTGTGATTGTGCCACTACACTCCAGCCTAGGTGACACGGTGAGACTCCAACTCAACAAAAAAAAAAGTAACAATAAATACATAATTTTTAATAAATTCAGGTTTTTGGTCTACCTTCGTATACATACAGTACATATATAATGTACTTTGCTTTATAGTTTTAACTTTAGAACTATATCATTTTATGCAGTTAAAAATTAATTTTTGGCCAGGCTCGATGGCTCAGCCTGTAAATCCAGTACTTTGGGAGGCCGAGGCGAGTGGATTGCTTGAGCCCACGGGTTCAACACCCACCCGTTCAACTTGGGGAGACCTCGTCTCTACAATAAATCAAAAATTAGCACAGCATGGCAGCGCGTGCCTGTAGTTCCGGCTACTTTGAAGGCTGAGGTGGAAGAATCGCCAGAGCCTAGCAGGTCGAGGCTGCGGCAGTCAGAAGTGTGCCTCTGTACTCTAGTCTGGGCGACAGAGTGAGACTCCAACTCAAAAAAAAAAATAATAGAAGATAAATCAATAAATACATTTTAAGGCCACTGCACTCAAGCCTGGGCAATAGAGTGAGACTTCAACTCAAAAGTAAATAAATAAATAATTTAAACAATCCAAAAATTAAAAACTAAGTGAAACTAATGAACCCTTCTATATGTCAAATTAATACTTAACCATATAAAGAATGATCTCAAGTAACTTTGAAGCATGATATTTTGACCATAAACCCCTCACATCATAAGGTTAAAACATACATGCATACACACACATACACACACACACACACACACACACACACACACACACACCCCACTACATTCAGTAGTCTTACTGATAGCTATAACAATTTTGTCATTTTTTGAAACTCAAAAAAGTAAGTTATTATGTTAATGTTATTAGGAACCAAGAGTCAGTGTATGAATTTTAAAAACCACAAATTAAATCCAAAAGTTAACTCAAAATCCCCTTTTATTTTAATTATGAAATATCAAGATATTGTCACGATTTATTTTTCTCTTTCTTTTTTCTAGCCTGGACACAGAAAAGGCCTTAAAGCAACAACAACTCCATGAACATAACGTAGCCTAGACAACAGGTGGGAAGATCACTTGAGGCCAGGAGTTTAAGATCTACCTGTATTTGAAAGAATAAAAAATAAATAAAAAACTATTTTGAGGCCGGGCAAGGTAGCTCAAGTCTGTAATCTCAGCACTTTGGGAGGCCGAGGTGAGGGGACTGCCTGAGCCCACAGGTTTGAGAACAGCCTGGACAACTTGGCAAGATCTCACCTCTACAATAAATCAAAAAATTAGCTGGGCTTGGTAGTACGCACTTCTATTTCCAGCTACTTGGAAGGTCGGGCGAAAGGATCGCCTAAACGCAGCAGGTCAACACTGGGGTGGCAGTGAGCATGCCACTGCACTCTAGCCTGAGCGAAAGAATGAGACTCCAACTCAAAAAAAAAAAAAAGAAAAGAAAAAAAACCCTCTTTTGAGCCACATTGTACTGCAAAACCTATTTTAGAGAAATTCAGGAAAACTGATTATGAAATAGGTATTAGATGATACTAAGGAATTCTTGTTAATTCTTTTAAAGGTGATAGTAAGTATTTTTTTCCCCCAGTTCTTGTCTATTAAAGACATGAGATTTGTTTCAAGTACTATAGTGTGCACATGTATACACACACACACACACACACACACACACACACACACACACACACACAAAGTAGTAGGAGAAAAACAAAAAAAGAATGGCAAAATATTGATAATTGTTGAAGTTAGATTTTGGTTATATGGGGGTTCATTACTTTATGGGGGTTCATGTACTTTAGTGTATGTTTAGAATTTTTCATAACAAAAACTTCTCATTTTTTTAACTAAGACAGGATCTAGAACAATTAATATGTTGGAAATAATGGGGCTCAAAGCAACTAACCTCTGTCCTGAAGCAAGGGCAATGGGAGACTGTCCGTTGGGGGGCCGAGGATCCTCACACGTCTTCATCTCCACTTCTACCTTATCCAGGCACTGAAATAAAAGTCATGCAGAGCTAAGGGTATGCCAAAAACATACACAGAACAAAGGAAGACAGAACAGTCTTATTAATCTCTGTGCTCCAGTGCCTAGTTAAGTGCTATACCCATGGCAGGCAAGCAATAAATGTTTGCTGAATGAATGAATGAGCAAACTAAAATGGAAGGAGCAGTTTCATCTTCTCCCTTCCATTTCTATTAGCAGCAAAACTCCATGACTAGCATGGGATGAGCTCACAGTAGAGAAATAAAACATTAATCCAAGTTACAGGGATATTTCTGTTCCTGGAGGTTCTAATATTTGGGACAAAGATATGCATCAATCAGTTTCTGAAGGGCTTTCAGATGATAATCACCCAACAGTCAACATAAACTAAACTTGTTTTTTCCTCTGTCAGGATTCCAAGGGAAAATAGGAAAGTCTAAGTGTAGAGGCTGGCAGCAAAAATTTTTATACAAACACCTAAAAAAAAAACCCCAGGAGCCCTGGGTCTTGTGTCCCAGTGCTAATTCCTATACTGCACAGCAGTTCCTGAATAGGTCTAGACAACAGTCACTCTGTCTCAAAGAGAATCTCACAGGACCATAAAGAAGCACCCACTATTCCCAAAAGGATGATCAGCATTTCATCTTCTCTCTTATCTTTTAAAAGCCTACCCCGGCCATCCCTATTTGATTACTTGCAATACAGAAAGACTATTACCAAGCAAATTGGGTGTGTCTTCAACTTTGTCCACTGGATCTGAAAGAGGAAAGCAAAGTCTCAGGGCTGTGGAGCTGCCCCTCAGGAAGGCAGGCCTGCTGGCCAAAGAGAGCAGCAGCATTCTAACCATGATCTCACCCTAATGGAGGCCCTGTTGCAGTAGACCCGAGTGATGGCTAACCAGGTGGGCAGCTCCAATACATTTTGCAGAACCTCCTCATCCAGCTCCAGGTTGGTCAGTTGACCCTCCCCTTTCAGTGTGCTCAAGTTGATTTTGTCTGGGGAAAGATTCTTAGTGAACCTGAAAAGAGTGATGATAAGAAATTATTTCCATGAGAATCTGTCAAATGGATGTTATTATAGCCAATAACATTTCTGAACATTTCTCATTAGAAAAGAGAATGCTAAAGAACATTTTTTAAAGCCAGTCAAGTGAAGCAGTGATAGTGGAGAAGGAACAAAGAAATATGTAACTGTTTGTGATAAATCAGTAGTAAACACCCCTGCCCTAGGACCAGCCAGAACAAATGCTGACTAATGAACATACTGTCTCCACATCACACAAGATGTTAGGTGAGACCCATCATTCTACTTGTGTCATCCTACTCAATAATTTATGATGGGGATTCTGGGGAAATGACTATAGCAGCGGCAATATAGCCTTTTGATATTCTGAATCCCCACACAAAAAGAGAGCAACTAGATAGCAACACAGAAAGTCCACGGATAACATTTAAAACAAAACAAGATAGTCTGGGCATGGTGGCACATGCCTGTAATCCCAGCACTTTGGGAGACCGAGGAGTTCAAGACCAACCTGGGAAACACAGAAAGCTCATCTCTACAAAAAAATTAGTCAGGTATGGTGGCCTGTGCCTGAAGACCCAGCTATCCGGGAGGCCAAGGCGGAAGGATCGCCTGAGCATAGGAGGTCAAGGCTGCAGTGAGCCATGATTTTACCATTGCTCTCCAGCCTGGGCAACTCTGACTCAAAAAGTAAATAAATAAGTAAAACAAAACAAGATAAAGTATACTCATAAATCCCCATATGCAAGTGTGGGGGGGGGGAATCAATAGCCACAAGACATGAGTGTTATAAGCAACTGTCTAGAACAAAGTAGAGGGAGGCAAAAGAGCATCAGACAAATCTGAGAACAGAAGAACCCCAATATAATCAACAAGTATCACATGAAAAGCAATGTGGGCCAATTTGAGAACAGTAACTGACACTGGGAAGGGTTTTGTCCACTACAAGGGATTCCCTAGTGAGTCCCCAAGGAGCTGGAGCAGTCTAGTGCTACACACTCATGAAACTAACCTTCTAAAACTGCTTCCTAGGAAAGGAACCCCACACAGAAAAGAATCAAAATGGAGCAAGATAGGGATAGCAGAAACGAAGAAAAGAGATGGTCCAAATAAAAATAACAAAGGGAACAAACCAGAATATCTCAGGGAGCAAGCCATTATATTTTTTAACACTACTTAAAACAACAGAAGAGGGAAGCTACATGAAGTTAGAATATGAAACAGTAACAGGCTAATTATTGTCTTGTTAAAGTAGGTAAATGAAATCTCAAACCCCTACATCCTTTTACTTCTGTGATGAAAAAACAACCGACCACCTACAGTCTTTTTTTTTTTTTTTTTTGAGTTGGAGTCTCACTCTGTTACCCAGGCTGGAGTGTAGTGGTACTCTCATGGCCATCCCAGTGTCTATCTTCTGGGTTCCAGCAATCCTTCCGCCTCAGCCTTCCAAGTAGCCAGAACTGCAGGCACACGCTACCATGCCCAGCTAAATTTTTTTATTTATTGTAGAGATGAGGTCTCGCCAAGTTACCCAGGCTGGTCTCAAACCCACAGGCTCAGGTAATCTACTCGTCTTGGCCTCCCAAAATGCTGGGATTACAGGCTGAGCCACCAAGCCCGGCCATTACCTATAGTCTTCCTAAAGGGACTGAACACGAACTGGGTCCAGTTGCTAATGTGAAGAGGACAGAGGAAAAGTACCAAATTACACTGTAAGTGTGCAATCAGCAAAATCCAGACTATAGGATACCCTCCAGGTCAAGTGGCCTAGACTAGAACATTCACACTCACTGCTCTAGCATTTGCTGACATGCTCTTGCCACACTCCATTCCTGGAGCAGCCTCCTTCCTCATCACTATCTGCATTCAGGGTCCAACTCAAGACTTCTCACTGAGGCATTCTATCCCTAACTGCTGCAACTCACATTAAGCTCTTTGATTCTCCTTTCCTGGAGTCTATAACATGCATTTAGGTCATAATTACAGGGAGTCTTAGGAGATTATCTAATTGTCCAAGTATAACCTCCACTGCTCAATTAGTTGCTAAACTCTTTGAGGTAAAGGGCTGAGTCCTGGCCATTCTTTCTAATCAGAATACCTGACAGAATGCTGGACCTGTGTATCGCTTAGCTGACTGCACGATTGGCTACCTCCTCCCAGCTCCCTTCTTTCATCTTTTTGACTAGATCAATTGAAGGCCAGTTCCTCATGGTATAACCTTCTCTCCTGTAGGACAAACTGTCTAGATGAAACTCATCCCTGTAGTTCTCACTGTTGCTGCTTCTTATAGACACTATTTTCCATGCCAACAATGAACTGTATTTTGTCCTCCAACCTTAACCATACCAAGTCTTTATATATAGTAAATGCCAATAGTTTATTTTAGTGCTATATATATATATATATATATTTTTTTTTTTTTTTTTTTTTTTGAGGAGTCTCACTCTGTCACCCAGGCTGGAGTACAATGGCCTGCTCATAGCCACCACAGCCTTTACCTGCTGGGCTCAGGTGATCCTTCCGCCTCAGCCTTCCAAGTAGTTGGAACCATAGGTGTACCCGCACCACGCCCAGCTAATTTTTAAAAATTTATTGTAGAGACGAGGTCTCACCAAGTTGCCCAGGCTGGCCTCGAATCCCGGGTTCAAGCAATTCTCTCACCTCGGAAGCCGAGGTGAGAAGATTACCTGAGCCTGCAGGTTCAAGACCAGCCTGGGCAACATGGTGACATCTCTTCTCTACAATAAATCAAAAAATTAGCCAGGCATGGTAGCACGCGCCTATAGTTCTGGCTACTTGGAAGGCTGAAGTGGAAGGATAGCCTCAGTCCAGCAGATGGAGGTTGCAGTGGCCGGGAGCGTGCCACTGCACTCCAGTCTGGACAACAGAGTGAAATGCCAACTCGAAAAAAAAAAGTGCTAGAATTACAGGTGTGAGCCATTGTGCCCGGCTTACAGTTATATATTTATGTATTTACCAACCTTTTCCCCCACGTATATATTTTCCTTTCACTAAATTGTGTTTTGATGTTTTTGTTTTTCCTTGGATCCTAAGATCATGACATACAAAAGTTTTATCTTTGCAATTTCTTTTCTATAGTGCCTAAAATGGTACTATGAAAAAGATTCCTTAAAAAAAAAAAGTCTCAGGTGCAGTGGCTCACGCCTATAATCCCAGCACTTTGGGAGGCCAAGATGAGAGGATTGCTTGAGCTCACGAGTTCGAGACCAGCCTGGGCAACTTGGCGAGACCTCAACTCTACAATAAATCAAAAAACTAGCAGAGCATGGTGGTGCATGCCTGTGGTTCCAGTTACTTGGAAGGCTGAGGCCGAAGGATCGCCTGAGGCCAGTAGGTCAAGGCTGCAGTAGCCGAGAGCGTGCCACTGCACTCCAGCCTGGGCAACAGAGTGAGACTCCAATTCAAAAAAAAAAAAAAAAAAGGCTATTTAACAACCTTTAAATGACGGCAAAAATTATTTTTAGAAGTTTACATGTTGGGCACAGTTGCTCATGCCTGTAATCCTAGTACTTTGGGAGGTGGAGGCAAGAGGACTGCCTGAGTCCAGGGGTTCAAGACCAGCCTGGGCAACTTGGTGCGACCTCATCTCTACAATAAATCAAAAAATTAGCTGGGTGTAGTGGCACGCGCCTGTGGTTCCAGCTACTTGGAAGGTTGAGGTAGAAGGATCACCTGGGCACAGCAGGTAAAGGCTGCAGGGGCCATGAACATGCCACTGCACTCCAGCCTGGGCAACAGGGTGAGACTCCACTCCAAAAAAAAAAAAAAAAAGTTTACACACATGCAAAACAATATGGCATGATATCAAGGGATACATAGGAATGCACTGGCATAACAAATTTTGGAGAATGCTTACTTGTGGGGTGAGGGGAAGACTCTACAGGAGGCTTCAACTGTACAAATAATGCTTATTTTTCAAGTTAGTAGGTGACTGTCTAGCTGTTCACTATATTACCCCATGCCTTTTTGTACAGCAAATGTTTCACAACAAATTTTTCTAAAATTTCTATCAATTTCCTATTGTAATATACTTAGTGTTGGGAGAGCTGCCCCTCCATGAGTCTCTCATATTCCTATATGTCTGCTGGGCATGCCAAGAATGCATGGCCTTACCCACTCCTTGCTCGGTCCACCTCTCAGGATTGTGTCTGCAGAGAGCAGATTTGAGGGATGAAGTAATCTCTCCCACCAGGACAGCTTCCTATTTACTATAAAAGCAATGGATTCCTCAGGCTTAGTGTTCTATTCCTGTAACACATGTGCAGGCATCCATCTGGGTTCATTCATGTCACTCTCATGGACCTTGAGTCAAGGAAAATTGATGCAAACATTGTGCATATGCTGCTTGCTGGGCCATGAACAACAGACTGTAATAAAGTCGTTTGTCTCTGATCCAGGAGTTCTGTGTGTTCTGCCAGAATCTATGGAACAGTAACAGCTAAAAATTAGCTTCTAAGTAGGGTAAAACAAAATCCCAGACCCTAACACATACATTCACTGATTTTAATTCACTGAAAAAAAAAATTTTAATCAACATTTACTAAGTACTGAGGTTGGGCACAGTGGCTCAAGTCTAATCCCAGTACTTTGGGAGGCAGAGGCGAGAGGATTGCCTAAGTTCAGGGGTTCAAGACCAGACTGGGCAACTTGGTGAGACTTTGTCTCTATAATAAATATTAGCTGGCACATACCTATTGCTCCAGCTACTTAAAAGCCTGAGGCAGAAGGATTGAAAAAAAAAACCATTTACTGAGTATGAACTAATTTCACTCTCTGAACCAAAAAGGCAAGTTTTCTATAAATGGCTCATTTCCACTGAAAACTATCTTGCTACAAAAGGAAAGAGGAGCCGGGCTCGGTGACAGCCTGTAATCCCGCGACTTTGGGAGGCTGAGGTAAGTGGATTGCCTGAGCCTGCAGGTTCGAGACCCGCCTGGGCAGCGAGACCTCATCTCTACAATAAATCAAAAAATC